AAAAAAAAAAAAAAAAAAAAAAAAGCAAGATTATAAACAGTGTTTAAAATTTGACACAGATCAGATAATAATGTATAAACTCAACTTGTGATAGTTCATATTTAAGAAAAAAATAAACTGTTCAGAATATATTCAAAGTTAAATAGACAAAACTGTGAGTTTCCATAGAACACTGTAACTTGTCCTTGGCACTGATTTCACTCATTGACCTCCACCACCTGTTTGATCTTGTTCACTTTCATTCATCCTGTTTTATATAAACTTATACTTAAACATATCTAATTAAAGTCTGGTGGGTTATGTTATAAATTTTCAATTAAAGCAAACATCTCCACCCATCCCTTTCCCGCCCTTAACCTTAAATAAAACCATTTATCACATACCCAAAATTCTGTAAAATGAAAAGAAGCTTTAATAATTTTTTTTTAGATGACCTTCACTAAATTTTTAGAATGATCTTATTCTTCTTTAAATATTTGACCAAAAAAATTCAATTTTGTAAATAAAATTTTTTTTTAAAAAAAAAAAAAAAAAAAAGTCCATGAATTATAATCCTAGTCCCCAAAGTTGTCAAATTGTTAACGATTTGCTTGACAAGAGGGAAACAAATAACATTGTATTTCTTGCAATGAAAGCGACATTTAAAGCCAGTGTTTGGTGATTGTTGTATTCTCATTATAGTCAGGGACTGTTGACGCCAAGGTAAGGACAGAACCTTGTGTCGTCACATGCACCCGTGTATCATTCACAATGTCACCATATTGTGATGTCCGTCTGATCTTGCAGAAGTCTCACTTCATCATCATTTTTTTAAAACGGTTTTGTTAATTTAAAATAGCACAGAAAAAGAAGAAAAAAGTCATAACTTGCAGTATTAACACAAAAATAGATAATTTCTCTAACTTCCTTTATTATTTTAAAGAGTTTAACATTGTTCTAAGTTGAGGTCTGTTTTTAGAACCCTTTTTTTAAAGTAACTTGATGATGAAATATTTTTGTCATTTAATTTCAACATTTTGCATATATTAATAATTTAGTGTAATTATAATAATTATAAATTTAAATACATTTGTATCCCTGGTCTTATCAGTATCCAAGAAAGATTGCAATAACAATAGGTGGTGGATACGTAATTCACAGCCTACCATTTAAAAATAAAAATCTATGTTCATTATGGAAAAGCTGTTAATTTTAATTATAGCTTTGCCATTTTTTTTCAGCCATCCGCTTCAGTCCTGAATGACACACTGCTTCCCACCCCACTCTGGAGTTCTAATATCTCATATTGGACAGAGGCCTCTTATTTACCCGACACAGCATCTGGGTTGTCTTCAGTTACATCATCATCACCAGATGTAACAACACTGCTAAATGTAAGCGGTACAACATTGGCTTCATTGGTCACTGACATCTACGATACACCATCTACTGTATGGACACAGGATTCCATGGCTACTTCCTACAGCTCACAGCTCGACACCTTTTCACCATTAGAACCTTCAAATGGGTCCTTCCTGTCGACTCCATCATTTGTCATTGTAACAGATTCGACTGTATTCATCAGTGAATTCTCCCACATGTTTTCACTAACAGACAGTTTCTCAAAGACACTGTCACTGGTGTCAATGGACACAGAAGCCTGGAATGCTTCTCATTATTCTTCAGCCAACTTCTCATCAGAAGCGCTATCGACATATCAAGATATTTCATCAGAATTTCTTCCAGACCATTCAGAAACAAAAACTTTAATCCCAGGTATTTCATCCCAATTGACTGAATATTTTTCAATGTATAACGAATCTTCGTCATTTCCTTCACTCTCTTCGTCTGTGATATTCAGTGACCTGACCGAGTTGGCCAGCTCACAGATTTCACTCAACATGTCGACCGATGAGATCCCAACGATGAGCTCAGACATGGTTTCTGAGATAATTCTGGTGCCGTCAGTGCCTTCAAGCAGCGGGTTGTCAACCGAGTCACAGTTAACCACACCCGTGTGGATGTCATCAGTTCATGTTTCATCTCTAGAAATGAATGGCTCGATGGATTTTTCAGTTACCTCATCATCCAGTGCTTTAGATGTGACACCTACAATTATAACTGTAAGTTAAAAAATATTAATTTTTTAAAAATTATTCATGTGCACATTATCTCGGAAGATATAAAAATATTTAAATTTTAGAAAAAGTTAATAAATGTTTTCCTTTTTTTTTGAAAGCCCCCATAAATATAACCCAGAAATTTTTTACAATGAATTTTAAAAATAAAATTGGCATTGCATCATTTTAAAGTTCATTTTTTTCTTCAAAATTATTTTTAAAAAAGCATTTTCAAGATTTGGCACCTACCCGCCTTTATCTATGCATTTTTAAAAAAATATACATATCAATACAGAACATAACAATCAAATTCTGGGTTTCATAGATGTTTTCCCTCTAGATATACTATCATCCATGGCTGGGATTGTCCTGAGATTTTAAAAAGCACTAGATGAGTAAATGTCATAGAGGGTTACTTAAGTACAAAGACAACATTTTACTATAGAACATTCTTTTCTGACATGGGGGAAGATGGTTTTGTTGTCACAGAAAATGCTTTTATTTGTAACGTAAACTGCCCGGCTAAATCAATACAATGAGATTTTAAATTTTTATATTCATTTTTTTTTCCAGGAGAGCTCCTTCATGTTTAACTCCAGCTTAGGGGACATTATCATTGAACCAACTCTCAGCACATCCCAGGTGTCAGTAATGTCATCTGAATTAAAAATATCCAACTCCACGGTCATCATGTCCTCTACCGTCTTCCTGTCCTCCACCATACCACCCCCATCATCATCAGAGCCACCACTAAGCACGTCTGTCACCCCCACACCAACCACTCCAGCACCAGGAACGACAGTTCCAACCATAGAGAACAGCAAAAACAAAACCGAGTTTTGGGTAGTCACACGTAAGTCAAATCACAAAATCTTATAAAAATAATAAATACTTTTTTAAGAAAGAGTTTTTTTGGGACCTATTTTTTTAAAAAACAATCATCATTCAAGGACCCAGTAATAATTGGAAAGAAAATTGATAGGTCATTCCTTAATATGCAAATTATTCTTTAAAAAAAACACCAAGTTTTGGACATCATATTAATTTGCAGTTCTGTGTAACATTACGCATAAAGCATCAATATCTGAATGTTTCATTTCTGAGAAATGCTCAGTGGGAAACTAGGTAATCTTTCTGTTTAAAATTCATGGAATTGGGCTCAGACTATCTGACATGCAAATATTTTCCTAATTTTTTGTATTCTCAGGTTTTCGGATTCCTCTGAGTGCAAATATCCAGTCACCAGCCTTCAAGCAGCAAACTGAGATGGGTTTGGCCAATGCTTACTACCTTGCCAGGGTACGACAGGAGGAAATCAAGAATGGGACTTACGTCCCTTTGACAAGGAGGCGGAAAAGGCTGGCCAGTGCAACTAATGACCCAAATACGCAAGTTGATGTAAGATTTGACGTTTGATTTAGTGATTGTTGCTAGTTCCCATATTGGATTTCTAAAATGCCTTTTTAAATCCTTTATATTAACTTCACTTTTGTTCCTGGCTGGCTGGCTGACAAATCTTCAAACGCCTAATTGACCTGTCAACCTATCGAGCTGTTTAAATTTGGCACATAAACTCTTTGCTAATGACAACACATTCTAACAAATTTTCAGCCCGCACCCCCAAAAACCAAATTTTCCTATTTTTCAAATTTTCTTTTTTTTTTCTGAAATAGTTGGTGAAATAAATCTTTGGTGTAAAAGCGGGTGGGGCATTAGTATATTAATATAGTTCAGGGGCATGTGAGGGGAGGGGGAGAGGGGGGGGGACTGATTAGGATTCTAATAAAGTGCATTACTGGTATGCATGTTTTGTTGAATTTTCAGCACCACCACCCCATTATATTTTAGACAAGGATTTATTCGAAAAACTTTGGTTTTAGGGGTTGTTTAGTTTACAATGGATTTAAATCATTTTTTGTTGTCTATGAGGATTAACATGTCTAACCACCAAGATCTTATATTTTGTGTATTATTCCATGCAATGTATACATAGTTCCCCAGTTAAACACCAATTAACATCAGGTTAGGAACCCATTATTTATATGTTATGTCATTATTTTAGACTAAAGCTAAAAAAACAACAACTTAATGTACAGATGTTTGCCTTGCCCCTCCCCCAAGAAAGGCTCACATCCCTTAATATGTTTCATTTCTCTTAAGAAATGCTTACTTTCCATAAGAAATGCTTACCTTCCATAAGAAATGCTTACCTCCCATAAGAAATGCTTACCTTCCATAAGAAATGCTTACCTCCAATAAGAAATGCTTACCTCCCATAAGAAATGCTTACCTCCCATAAGAAATGCTTACCTCCCATAAGAACAGTTTACCTCCCATAAGAAATGGTTACCTCCCATAAGAACAGTTTACCTCCCATAAGAAAGGCTTCCTACCTGTGTATTATTTCTTCCACTTAAAACCACGGACTGTATGTTTGATTCTGTCACCAGATGGTTTCAGCCACTAGACCGACCAATGCCTCAGCTGTTGATGTGACTTATGTTGTCCAGCAAAATGGTCAGATTCTCTCAGGAACACAGGCATCTGATCAGCTGAACCTGTTGTCAGAACAGGAAGTTGCCATAGTCACAGGACAGTTGGTCAGCATAACTGCCCAGCGTAAGTTTTTCAGTCATCTCCGTCTTTCAAACTGACTTCTGTGTTATGAATTTGAATTGAAATGACTCTTGATTTCTCTTAGATGTAGTCCACATGTTTGTTTCATGAATGTTAGGTTCGGTTCGAATTTTTGTTTTTCGAAAGTTTTGTTTGATATACATAAACTAATTTTGTCTACAAATTTGTGTGTTCCCAGCCTACATACAACCAGCAAGCAGCGAGGAGGATATGACCAAATGGATTATTCTAGGCTGCGTGTTGGGTGGCGTCCTTCTCATAGCAATCATCGTCATTATTATTGTGTGCTGCTGCTGCTGCAAGTCTAAGAAGCAGGACGAGGTCTCAACCTTCAGGGATGCGGAGCTGGTCAAGGTGACAAGACTAGACAAGGTGAGTACAAGAATCATGCCCTCTAATCTACATGCAGAACTTGTCTAAAGCTGAACTTCGTAAACTGTTCTGTAATGAAAGAAATCTTCTAAATCTCCTCTGTGTTGATGATTGATTACTTCTCATAATGTTTTTGATTTTTATGCTTGTTGGGAAATAATTACCTAAAATTGGTTTGACATTATATCTGGGAGATTTATAGATTATACAATATTAGAGATTACGCTGAACAATATTAGATAGCTAGTTCATGTAATCTTGAACAAAAAAAACTAAAAAACATGGGAGACAAAATTTTGAACTTAAAAAAGAAATTAAGTGCAGTTGGAATTTTAACACCATTTAAATCAGGGGCTGCGAGCCTCTTTTTGGTTCTGGACTTTTGTAAATTTTAACTGAGTTGCCCTTAAAATAAATTAATAGGAATGTTTTAACTATTTTTTTTTCAATGCAAATTGATCAACTATCTAAGTCCTGAGAAATAGTCTTTGGACTAATGGGAGTCTGAAGATGATGTGCTAGTTGTACACAGTCTCACTGCTGAGAGTAGTCCTGATTGATTTTGAGAAAAAGCATTTAAAACAATTAATACATTTATTAATTTGTCTGCATCATGAAAAAATGTGGCCAATTTTAATCATCAAGCCATTAAAAATTAAAAGGTTATTCAAGTGTGTCGACTCAAGGTGTGTCGACTCTAGGTGTGTCGACTCTAGATGTGTCGACTCTAGGTGTGTCGACTTTAGACATGTTGATTCTAGATGTGTTGACTCTCTATGTGACGACTTTAGGTGTGTCGACTCCAGATGTGTTAAATGTAGATGTGTTCTATGAGTAGATTAAGCATGTGCAACAATGGCGCATGGTCTCTTAACAATGCTTCAAAACGATCAGATATACCCCTTTAGTTTAAACCAGCTGTCAGCGTGTTCGACCAAACAGCTATTTTTTAAAACGGCCCGCAATATGAGACATGCCTCCCCCCTTCCCCACCATGTGCCAGCTATTTAGTGAGGCGGTAATGCAAGAGTCACCGCTTTTCTATGACTCACACATGAGTGACGCGATAATACATGTGAACATTCATACCATGTGCCACCGCCATTCTATGACTCACACATGAGTGACGCGATAATACATGTGAACATTCATACCATGTGCCAGCTATTTAGTGAGGCCGTAATGTGAGTCACCGCCACCCTATGACTCACACATGAGTGACGCGATAATACATGTGAACATTCAATTGAGTAACAGGAGTCAATTAAATTTGAACAGGGCGAATGAAATCTTTAACTAGCACTGGTCCAATCCAAATGCTGGTTGACAATTTATCTGATGTCAACGTAGCACCTTCGTAGCACTTTCCGTAGGAAAACGGGATGGTCCACCCTGGACAGCATTTTGTTGGTGTTGGGGGGGGGGGACTTTTTGGTCAATCACAATGGGAAAAAGAATAGTTGGTGTTAATTTTTTTTTTCATCATTAATTTGTTACGCAAGGGTTGGTAAAGTTTGGTAAACCCAAAGACCGCGCCCCGGCCGTCATAAAGGTTACCTACGCTACAAGCCAGGCCTGCACAACATACGGCC